AGGTGATTAATCTGTGACTCAGTATTTTAATGCACTCTCACGTTATTGGCAGCAGGTTGACATGTATGAAGTCTATGCCTGGTCACGCACTCCGGACTCCAACTTATACCGTCAGATTATCGAGCAAAAAAGAATATTCAAATTTCTTCTCGGCCTCAACAAATCTCTCGATCATGTCCGCTCTCGGGTATTAAACTTCAAACCACTACCGAGCATTTGTGAGGCCTTCTCCGATGTTCGCCGAGAAGAAAGCCTCCAGAAAGTCATGTTTGGGTCTATCTCCACCTCACCCAACCTCTCTGTTGACACCTCCGCCCTTGCAACTCGGGTTCCTCTGCCTCGACACAGCGACGAAACATCACTCAAAGGTTGTCTCTGGTGCGACCATTGCCACAAACCAGGCCATAATAAAGACACGTGTTGGGTGCTTCATGGAAAGCCAGCCGATTGGAAGCCCCAGTCTGATCGCGCTCCTCGTGCCAACAGAGCCGTCTCTACTGATGACCTTTCTGCACCAGCGCCAGTCCATTCAACAAAGAGCAACTAGATTTGCTGCACAAAATGATCAGCAAACTACCTGATCTGGTTGTTCCCGACCTCATCACCGGTCTGCTCGCGCATCAAGATACGTTCTACCATGCCTTCACAGTCAATCAAGGATCCCTCGGTCAGTAGATCATCGATTCCGACGCTTCTCATCACATGACTGGCGATGCCTCCTTTCTCCATGACTATATGTCGTGCGGAAACAACTCCACCATCTGCGTTGCTGATGGTCGTCTCCAAAGTCACTGACTTTGACTCTGTGTGCATAACCTAAAACATTCTACTCTGATCTGTGTTTCATGTTCCTACTTTAAATTGCAATTTAATATACATCGGAAAGTTGACTAGTGATCTAAGGTGTATTGCTAAATTTTTCCCTACCATGTGTGAATTTCAGGATGCGAACTCGGGGATGACGATTGACAATGTTGAGATGTGCTCGGGTCTCTACGTCATCAACAGTACTTCATCACCACAACCTCACTTCGGACATTTGTCTACCCATCATTCTGTCTTCAATTCTAGTGTCAATAAAGATTATGAGATCATGTTATGACATTTTTGTCTTGATTATCCAAATTTTATGTATCTTGCAAAACTACTTCCAAATTTGTTTATCAATAAAAATGTTCGTTCTTTTCAATGTGAATTTTGTCAACTTTCCAAACACACTCGCACGTCATTTTCACGTGTTGGTTACACCTCTTCCCGGCACTTTGCACTCATTCACAGCGATATTGGGGCCCATCCCGTGTTATAACCCTTACCGAGACTCGGTGGTTTGTCTCCTTTATTGATGATCACACTCGACTAACGTAGCTATTTCTTATGAAAGATAAATCTGCAGTATGTCACATATTTAAACAATTTTACTCAATGATCCAAACACAATTCCAAACCTCCATTAAGCACTCAAGACTGATAATGCAAAAGAGTACTTCGCTTCCGTCCTCGGCTCTTATCTCTCCTCTAAAGGCATCCTCCATCTCAGTTCTTGCGTCGACACTCCTCAACAAAATGAGATTGTCGAACGCAAGAACCGCCACCTTCTCGAGGTGGCCCGCTGCCTCATATTTTCCTCTAACGTGCCTAAGGTTTTTTGGGGTGACGTTGTATCCACTGCAGCCTACCTCATCAACAGGATGCCTTCTCGGGTCATCAAATTTCAAAGTCCACTCCAACTACTTCTTAAATCATTTCCCCACACCAAGGCAATTACCCAAAATCTACCTACCTCAAAATCTACCTACCTAAGTATTTGGTTTCTCCTTCTTTGTTCACATTCATTCACACAATTGCAGTAAATCTACTAAATGTATTTTCCTCGGTTACTCGCCTCTTCAAAAAGGGTCTAAGTGTTATTCTCTTCTCACAAGAAAAACCTAAAACACTATGGATGTCACATTCTTTGAAAATCAGCCTTACTACCCCAATTATAATATTCAGAGGGAGTCTTTAAGGGAATATCAGTCTTAGGGGAACAACAAGTTTATACCACCACACATCAAATCATTGTCCTTTGAACCGAACTCATTATCTCCAGACTCGGATTCAATAAGTTCATCCAACTCACGTGACAATGTACCTAACAATCAGTCTCCGTCTAGTCCGCAAGTGTCCAACTCGCACATAGATCACCCAACACATCCAGCACCAATCCAAGAGTCAGAACCGAATCCAAGTCCTATAGAAATCCACTCAGGTACGAACACACTTGAGCATGAATCTACTATACCTATGATTGATGACTCCGACATTTCAATTGCTTTAAGGAAAGGTGTGAGGTCCATCCGTCCTCCACTCAGGTACGAACACACGATGTATCCGATCTCCAACTTTGTGTCCTATGAAATACTATTTCCAACTTATCGAGCCTATGTCACTGCATTCAACAATACACAAGTCTCAAACACGATTGATGAAGCTCTCAAACACCCGAGATGGAAAGCGGCCATCAATGAGGATGTAAGAGCCCTACAAAAGAATGGTACATGCACTATTTCAGACCTACCAAAGGGAAAGAAAGCAATCGACTGCAAATGGATCTTCAAAGTCAAATACAAGGCAGATGGTACAATTAAGATATTAAAAGCACGTCTCGTAGCAAAAGGTTTTTCACAGTCCTACGATATTGATTATCAATAAACTTTTGCCCCCGTGACCAAACTTAACACCATCAGAATCCTTCTCTCACTTGTGGCAAATGAAGACTGGTAGCTACATCAACTCAAAGTTAAAAATGCTTTCCTAAATGAGGATTTGGAAGAAGAAGTTTACATGAAAGCACCTCCCGGAATCTCTATTTATTTCTCTCATTAAATTAGAGAGATTAGTTGTCTCTTATATTTTATTATTATTCCTTTTATTTTTTACTGTATTATGTTTTTATTGTTTTCCTTGCCAGTAAGTCTTGTAATGGATATTTATACCCCTCTTTTTATCAATGAAATTAAGTCATCTCATATCTTTTCAATTATGTTAGCATTGAATTAGAATCCATCACACACCCAAATTAAAGAAGATGATTAGTAGGGACACCAGAAGTTTTTATGTAGAAAAAAATCATGGGGCTTTGGCTTAGGTAACGTTTCACTAAGCCTTATCCCACAAGCGAGCAGGAGTTACACGGTTTTATGAGTTACAACTTCGGTGGGTGGAAGAATTTGTTGCCTTGAGGTAGAGAGCGATCGCAAGGGGAAGTGACTGTTATAGCTTCAGTGCACCGTCTTAGGGCTCGACACGACGTTCGTTATGATATGTCGCTTCATAGGTTGCTTCGTGATTTTGCAGTGTCGGCTATCGCTTTGCACGGTGCTTCTTCGTGAGGAGCAAGAGTCAGCTGATGGTGGTCGGTGGAGGCCGGCGAGTGGTGGTCTACGGTGGTCGACGGCTGCAGGAGCAAAGACGTTCGTAGGATTGTCGGTGCAAAATGCTAGATTTCAGGTTCTTCATCAGGCTCTGGTCTCTCTCTTGCTTGGGGTTTAAAAAATCCAAGTTGTAAATAAGAAAGGAGTTCAGACCACTCTGATCGACCGCCCGAAGAGATGTTCTTAGTTGGATGACGTTCGATAGACATTTTAGTGTCTTAAGGATATTAAAATTGAGCGATATTTAGCTCATTAGATTTGTCATGTTGAGATGTTTGATTTGACTATAAACTTGTCAGATTCAAAATCTGTTTGTCATTCCAATTATGCAAATATCATTTAATAGCTTGATCTAGGATAGATTTGACTTGGATTTAAACAAATATCCTTTATGAATATGAAAGAATCAGATGTGGAAGAAAGGGATTCAAATATTAGGTTGACTAAACTAAAAGATGCTACAACAACTTTCATAAACCAATTCAATTGAATAGCATCATTTGTGGCTGTAGAATTTTACAATAATTAGGCTTATTTCATAAATTAAACAAATTGACTTCTGCGATTATATTGAATCTTGTAATTTTAGAAATGCTAAGAAATGGCTAAAGTTCGTGGCTTACACTGCTCTATATGAACTTTTTATATTTAAGTGATTGCTACTTTTATGCCAACAAATACTTTACTTTTGAGACAATAAATCAAATCATAGCAGGGCGAACTTGGGTCCAATAATTATGCACAGCCAACATTTGTTCGATCATAATGCTGGTTTTATTTCTTAAAAAAATTAAATAATATTTATTAGAGTTTATGACCTGAATTTTATTGGGAAGGTTTGAATTGAAAATTTTACAGCTTATGTGATGCAATTATGGGAAAACTTCTATTAAGATCTGTTACCCCATGATATGAAAAATTATTCCGTGCGAAGACTGCATTCAGGCGGTCCATCACAGCGGAGGTGGGGCCCACTTTCAAAATTTTCTTTTTTAAAAAAATTTCGTCTCCACGTTAATGAACGGCCGAGACCATGCGGTGTCGTCACGGAATAATTTTTCCCATGATATGTGTCCTTCATTTCTTTTCACACTCGTCAATCTTCATATATAATTATTGTTTGATGGATAATATGTTATGTAGCAATCGAATCTTTCTTTTCACTTTGCAATTTCTTTTATTTCTATATAGTTAATTCTTTTTTTATGCTCATAATTTATCGTAAGATTTTTCACATAAATTTTGGTGTTTCTTCAATTTTCTGATGTTTATCTTTCGTTATTATTTGTTGAATCATTTTTAGGACGTAGGGTCCAATATTATCTTTGAGTTCATACAACTCAGGAAAGATCCCGTGTTAAGGAGAAGATGCAGAAGAATATGACGAATACACAATATATTACTAATGTATTACACTGATTTACGCCACATTTCTTTTTCACCAAACGAAAAAGCTCCTAAAAAAAATGAAAAAACATCAGTTATCTTGTTAAAGATGATATCAGTATCAAGCAACCGGTTAACTGTCAGTAAACTCACATAATCGGAAGAAGAAAAAAAAACAATAGAACAAATTATACCAACAAATAATCATTTTAGCTGCTCAATTAGAACATGCTAGTGACGTTCCAACTTCCATTAATATGTTCATTCAACAGAGAGCCACATTAATAACGTAAATTTCACAGGAAGTGTTTACAAATGAACTTTTGAGCCTTAATTAATTCTCAGGAGAATCAAAGAATGCAATATCCAAACTAAGCTCAATTATTCAAGCCTAAAATGGCGTTATTAAAGGAGAGAAAAGTATCACAAGTAAAAAACTCAAATAAGTTGTCAATCAGTTACCAAGAGAAATGTTTGCGATAAGCTGTTGTGCTTCTAGAACAAGCCTCTGAATCACCTCAGCAGCTGGAAGAATCTCCTTAATAAGCATCACTCCAGCACCAGCATACATTACCATGCTTTCTATGTCCCCAGTTGTGGTCGCATTCGGAACAGTGCCGGCAAGAAGTCGTATTTCTTTCAGCTGTCAAGGAGAATATAAGAGCTTAAAAAATAAGTAGCCGGCCCAACAACAAATGATAACTCGGTCCTATTACACACAAAAGAATGAAGAAAGAGCATAAATTAAAAGCAAGAAAAGAGCTAACAGAAGAAGCAGCTGGTGCATATGAGGTCAGGACTGGAGGGTGTGAGATGTCATGAGCCGGCCTAAGAGCTTAGAATTATCAAGGCAGGTGCAAACCGAAGAGTCATATCAGTCTAATATTTACAAAAATTCAAAAAATCATTCAAATAATTAAGAGAAAATTTCTCAAACATCATCTAAACATATATACAAAATTAATAGTTTGTGGTAACATTTTTTAATAAAAAACTAAAAACAAAATACAATGTTTTCCTAGTACTTATTTTTATTAGCTTTTTACTTGAGTTTTTCTTCTTATAGATATTTGAAGAACATATTAAGTTATACAATAAATTAGTGAATTATTATAGTTATATTGCGCAATAAAAGTTTATACATATACTCTAACATGCATGTTGTTTAAAATTATTAATTCATATTAATAGTTTGTCTTATTAAACTTTTAAACAGTTTTATTTCATTTTAAGAAGTCTTGAGAGCAATATCTACAAATTGTACCAATAAGAAACGCCGTTGCTATTTGCAAGCCCTTTTCTTTTTCATTTTTCTTTCAATCATTGAAACATATGTTAAACTTCTAGTGCAAATAAATATATGAAGCCTTTTAAAACATTAAACATTTATTTAATTTTATCTATATTATCATCACCTAATCCTTACAAACATTAACACATTTAAGATTTAAAGAACTGAATTTATTACAGATAAAAAAATAATTACTTAATTTAAATTTCATCTATATTGTAATCTAATCCTTAGCCACCACCTCTTTTATTTTATCGCCTATAAACATAACAATGATTTTAAATTTATGTTTTAATATTTTATTATTAATTTCTAAATAATTTTTTTGTACTTTCTCCTTATATACTCTTACACAATCTTTATTTTAACTTCATCAGGACCCAAGTTTCTAAAATAATTATTATATCAAGTCAATATTATTAACAATAAATTAACCTTTCATCTGCTTAATTAAATTTAAAAATTTTCAATTTTTAACTGAAATGTTACTTTTGTAAAATATAGTACAATTTACATCTTTATATTTTATTCTTCCAATTAAGAAAAAACATCAAATTGATCTCTCTTTTACTCAATCCCCTTTCCTTTTCCTTTTTAAATCTTCTCCACTCAAATCAAATCCCATGTATTTCTTCAAATTTAAAGTCACCTTCGGCTGGTAAATTTATACAAATTAAATGAATACTAATTAATTGTTTACCTCGAGTCTTTTCTTTCTTCCTCGTTGCATGTTAACGAACCTGATCCTTCTAATCCTGCAATTCTTAAAATGTTTAACATCTGATTTTTTACAATAATTAATAAAAATAATATTAATACTAAATAAACATTAAAACGAAGTAATTACTTATGGAATTAAAATCACAAACTTTAATTCAAATGTTCGGCTCGTCCTAGTCTCCTGGACTCACACTCACTGTTCGGTGAGGTAGATACTCGTCAAGTCCGCACGCTTACTTGCCTAGTACTACTCATTTTTCACACTCGATACTCGGTCCGCGCGTAGTGTCATCAATGTTACCTCCACATAGGTTTTCATCTATCTCAAAATGCACAACTTCTCTTGTACACGTCTCCACTTCGTGCATGTGACTTTGTCTCTCGCACTTGCCCACTCTTGTTCGATATCTCTGCCTCACACGAGACGAGTCTCAAATCTTATTCATCTCGCTTGATTTTGTTGTGGTATATATGAAATTTAAAACGATTGACGACGAAGAAAATAAAATAGCACGAGAAAATTCACACCAAAAGAACACACAGATTTACGTGGTTCGGCAAATTGCCTACATCCACGGAGTTGCAGAGGATTTTTCTAATTGAGGAAATTTACACCAGTTTGATCACAACAACAATTAAGGATCTCTCACTTGCTCTTTCTCTTTACACCAAGATTCACCCAAGAGCAAGAACACCAAAGAAGAAGAAAAATATACAAGAGAAAACCTGTTTCTCTTTTGCCACAAGTCACCGAGAAGAACACCTTCTTCTTCCCAATCATCTTCTTCCTTCTCCTGCTTCAACGCAAATGCTTTCTCTGCCCGTGACTTCTCTCTCTATATATCGCCAAAAAGAATGCTGTGTGATACAATTTATCGCCAACAGGAAGCGGGAACGGTTTCGCAATCGAGCAGGAGCGGGAGGAGTCGCGACCTTTCGCAAAAAAGGAGTAACGGGCAAAGCGACGTGAAGCTTCACGCGCGCGAGAGCAGACAGAGGTGTCGATTCGCGAAAATGGAGGCGGGAGCCGGAGATTGCGATTCGCGATCGCAGGAGTGGAAGAGGGTCGTTCCGAGCTCCACTTCTAACATATCTCCAACTTGGAGGCCGGTACACAAACTACAACATCTCAGAATTGAAACTCCACTTGCGGCGTAGCCCTTTTCTTCAAACAAGAATCCTCCACTGGCGATGTCGCCCTTTTCTTCAAACATGAATCATCCATCTCTACAACTCAAGACCCATGTCTTCAAGTGAGAAGACCAACTGAAGCTGCACACAACTACAGTTTCTCTAGAGTAACACCCTTTGTCAACATATCAGCAGGGTTCTGGCTTCCACAAATTTTCTCAAGCATCAACTGTCCGTCATCCAACAATGATCGTATGAAGTGATACCTGATCTGAATGTGCTTTGTCCTGGACTGAAATGCTGGATTTCTGGCAAGGAATATAGCGCTCTGACGGTCACTGTAGAGAATGTCCTTTTGATCATTCTTGCCCAATTCTTTCAAGAAGCCCTGTAGCCATATCATCTCCTTTGCAGCTTCTGACATTGCTATGCACTCAGCTTCTATAGTAGACAACGAAACTGTCTTCTGCAGATTAGAGCCCCATGATACTGCAGTGCCACCAATAGTGTAAATATAGCCTGTAGTACTTCTAGTATCAATGTCTCCAGCTAGATCAACATCAACATAGCCCCGTACCTCTGAACTCTTTCCTGAGAAACACAAGCAAGTTTCTGCAGAGCCTCTTAGGTACCTCAAGTTCCACTTCACTGCTTCCCAATGTTCCTTTTCAGGATTACTCATGTATCTGCTAACGACTCCCACTGCATAGGCAATATCAGGTATGGTGCAAACCATAGCATACATAAGTGAACTAATAGCTGAAGCATAAGGAACCTTACTCATGTAATCTCGTTCCTCCTATGACTTGGGTGACTGATTCTTGCTAAGTTTCAATTGACTTCCCAAGGGTGTGCCAACTGGTTTGGCCTTATCCATATAAAACCTGCTAAGTACCTTTTTTACATACTCAGCCTGAGAGAGTCTCAACATGCCTCTACTATATATCTGACAATTCTCATACCAAGGATTTGTTTTGCAGCTCCCAAATCCTTCATTGCAAAGTGCTCTGACATCTGCTCCTTCAGATTATTGATCTCCTCAATACTAGCACCTGCAATAAGCATATCATCCACATACAGCAGTAGGATGATATAAGAATTGTCAAAATACCTGACATAGCAACAGTGATATGTCTGACATCTGCTGTACCCTGCACTGTGCATAAAATTATCAAATTTCTTGTACCACTATCTAGGAGCTTGCTTCAGACCATACAAGTTCTTCTGTAATCTGCAAACTGACTCTTCATTTCCTTGTACCACGAACCCTTTTCAGGTTGGTGCATGTAGATAGTACCACGAACCCTTCAGGTTGGTGCATGTAGATATCTTCTTCAAGATCCCCATGAAGAAAAGTTGTCTTCACATCTAACTACTCAAGGAAGAGATTTTCAGAAGCCACTATAGACAGTAACATTCTAATGGTTGTAAGCTTCACTATAGGAGAGAAAATCTCGGAATAATCAATACCGTGCTTCTGCTGAAAACCCTTTACAACAAGTTTAACCTTGTACCTCTTACTGTCATCATGCTCAGTCTTCACCCGGTACACCCACTTGTTGTGTAATGTCTTCTTCCCAGTTGGAAGATCTGCTAACTCCCAAGTCTGATTTTCAAGCAAAGAATTCATCTCCTCCTTCATGGCTAGCTCCCACTTGCTCGAATTTTCATCTTGCAAGATTTCTTCATAACTCTGAGGTTCTCCATCATCTGTCAGCAGAATGTAGTTCAAAGTCGGAGAATAATGCTGTGGAAAACGTCTGACCCTTTTTGACCTGCGAACTACAACTGTAGGGGTAGACTGCTCTGAAACTGACTGTGGAACAATAGGAGTGGATGCCCTGGATCCACTCTCCTCGTCACCTGCATCTCTGTCCAGCATTGTGACCTCTGGTAAATCATCAAACTTTACCAACTCAGATTCCTTCAAAGTAGTTTCAGAAACTGTATTGGACTTGTCCTTGTACATAACATTCTCATTGAAAACCACGTTCCTGCTCCTTATGATCTTCCGACTCTGATCATCCCAGAAACGATATCCAAATGTCTCCTCCATAGCCAATAAAATAACACTTCCTTGACTTAACCTCAAGCTTATTACGAGCATCAGAATTAATGAAAATATAAGAACGACAACCAAAAGTCTTAATGTGAGAAAATTTTTCATTTTTCCCACTCAAGACTTCTTCAGGTAATTCACAGTTTAATGGAACAGATGACCCCCTATTGATCAAATAAACTGCAGTACTAACTGCTTCTGCCCAGAAAGTAGGTGGTGGTCCGGCGTGCAATCTTATGCTTCTAGCCCGCTCATTAATGGTCATGTTCATGCGCTCTGTAACATCATTTTGTTGTGGTGTTCTTGGAGTGGTCTTCTCCATTCTGATTCCCTGAGCTGCACAGTACTCCTTGAACCCACCATCAATGTACTCACCACCATTATCAGACCTCAGACATTTCAGCTTTAAGCATGTCTCTGTCTCAACCATAGCCTTCCAGGTCTTGAACACATTGAATACATCAGATTTATACTTCAAGAAATAAACCCATACCTTTCTACTGTGATCGTCAATGAATGTGATGTAGTAACGAGAGCCTCCAATATATGCTACTGGAGAAGGTCCCCACACATCTGTGTGTACAAGATCCAGCTTTCTTGCCTTTGGCGTTCTGCTGCCTTTCAAAAAACTGACATTCCTCTGTTTCCCCATAATGCAATTCTCGCACATGTTGAAATCAACTGACTTCAGTTCTGGTAGCTTGCCTCTAGACTGAAGTTCCTTCATACCTCTTTGATTGATGTGGTCAAGTCTGCAATGCCACAACTTTGTTGTGCTCTCTGCAACAGTAGTATCAACACTGTTAATTAAACCAGTAGTCATATACAACGTACATGTTTTCTTACCCCTAGCCAGTACCAATGCTCCTTTAGTAACCTTCCAGGTACTATCTGAGAAAACTACTAAATGTCCATATTCATCAAGCTGCCCAACAGAAATGAGGTTCTTCAGTTCAGGAATGTGTCTGACCTTTTGCAGAGTCCACTTGTTTTTATTTGGAAGTGCAATGTCAATATCCCCCATTCCTACCACATTCAGAGCTTCTCCATCTGTCAGATATACTTTTTCAAAGTCACCTGCAACATAATTCTGCATCAATTCCCGATGGAAAGTTGTATAGAACGAAGCTCCTGAATCCAGTATTCAGTCATCAACAAGACTATGAACTGTCAGCAGTAGTGCATCATGTGATTCTTCAGTTACCACATTCACATTCTTTGAAGATTCCTGCAGTTCCTCCTTTTGTGGCCAGTTTTGCCACAATTCCAACAAGTTACTTGTTTACCAGACCTTGACTTCCTCCTACTTCTGTTCTTTGATTTTGATCTTCCCCTGTTTGAGTTTCTGTCAAGTGATCTCCCTCTGGAATCAACATTTAGTGTCGAACTCGAACCTGAGATCTCGCCAGAATCTTTTCTGTGCACCTCCTCAGCCAAAATCAAATCACGAATATCTTCAAATTTCAGTTTAGATTTACCTGCAGAATTATTGACATCCATCCCCATAGCTTCCCAGCTATTTGGAAATGAAGCCAACAAGATCAGTGCACGTATCTCATCATCAAATTCTATTTCCACAGACGATAATTGATTTGTGATGGTATTGAAATCATTCAGAAATCATTCAGGTGTTGTATGTTGTACAACAGAAGTACCTTCCGCCATCTTCAAATTGAATAACTTCTTCATCAGATATACTTTGTTATTCGCCGATGGCTTTTCATACATACCTGACAGGGATGTCCTAAGATTTGCAGTCGTCCTCTCCTTGACGACGTTGTGTGCAACGGACCTCGATAGGGTGAGTCGAATAACCCCCAGAACCTGTCGATCCAACAGATTTCATTCAGTCTCATCCATTCTTTCAGGTCTTTTCCCCAATAACGGAAGATGGAGTTTCTTCCCATAGAGGTAGTCTTCTATCTGCATTCTCCAATAACCAAAATCTGTGTCATCAAATTTCTCGATCCCTGAAATCTTCACTTCGTATGTAGTCATTGGCTCTGATACCAGTTGTTGTGGTATATATGAAATTTAAAATGATTGACGACGAAGAAAATAAAATAGCACGAGAAAATTCACACCAAAAGAACACACAGATTTACGTGATTCGACAAATTGCCTACATCCACGAAGTTGCAGAGGATTTTTCTAATTGAGGAAATTTACACCAGTTTGATCACAACAACAATTAAGGATCTCTCACTTGCTCTTTCTCTTTACACCAAGATTCACCCAAGAGCAAGAACACCAAAGAAGAAGAAAAATATACAAGAGAAAACCTGTTTCTCTTTTGCCACAAGTCACCAAAAAGAACACCTTCTTCTTCCCAATCTTCTTCTTCCTTCTCCTGCTTCAACGCAAATGCTTTCTCTGCCCGTGACTTCTCTCTCTATATATCGCCAAAAAGAAAGTCGTGCGATACCTTTTATCGCCAACAGGAAGCGGGCACGGTTTCGCAATCGAGCAGGAGCGGGAGGAGTCGCGACCTTTCGCGACAAAGGAGTAACGGGCAAAGCGACGCGAAGCTTCACGTGCGCGGGAGCAGACAGAGGTGTCGATTCGCGAAAATGGAGGAGGCGGGAGCGGGAGATTGCGATTCGCGATCGCAGGAGTGGAAGAGGGTCGTACCGGGCTCCACTTCTAACAGATTTGTTCGAGCAACTGCGCTCCGTTTCATTCGCTCACTCTCTCCGACTTAGGATCCACAATTACTCCAACAAATTATAGAAGTTAGCCTAAGAATGGATTGATAATTAATTATTGATCGACTCTAGTAGCCAAACAATGATGCCCATGTGTGGATTGAAGAACTGTGACAACAAAGGATATATCTTCGACATAATAATAGAGATCGATAAATGAAAAAGACGGAGACCACTGAGATGATAAATGCAAGTACTCAAAAATAAAGGGAGGTTCAAAGTAAAATTGACTCTAATACTGTTAGAAAGAAGAGAATTATCAGGAATCATATCTTTATTAAATTTTCTCACTAACACTAGCATATGCGTCCATTTATATTAATTATATATATATATATATATAATAAATGAGAATATCATCAATAATGAAGAAATATAATTATAATAATAATTAGTGTAGATTCTTATCATATATAGTTAGCACATGTGAAAGTTTAGATATAATAAGAATGATTCTTAATCCAATCAAACAATGGCATAATGGTTTTTTTTCCTCAATTAAATATGCTATCTTCACAAATTTTTGTAGTAAAAGTCAGAAAAACCATGAATAGTATAAATTCTTACCTTCAATGCGGTGAGACAATAAAATATATAATTAGCATCATCACATGCAACATGAGACTACATTGACACATCATAATTCAATAGCATGAATAAAGTTCAAGCAAATATATATATAAAGATAAACCCTACGAATAAAAACTCAATACGGCAATTTGACAATGCACTTTTGATTGAAAAGTTGACTCAGCTACCTGTTCATGCAAAAACTAGGGTAAAAGCATGAATAGAATGACCCATTATCCTAAATCTCAGCAAGATCATTGTAGATACTTTTAGGAATCTCTAAATATTATTGCATGTGGATTTACAATTATCAATCATACTTCAAGGCCGTGAAAATTTTAGCTGTGTCATAGGAGCAAACCTTCCCGTGGATTGTAGAATGGCCTATAATTGGCTGGTTCTCCTCATTCTCGTTATCAGGTAGATGCCTACACTCATTGAAAAAAGGTGTCTCTAATACACGGTGAGGCGCATTGGGCCACCTTGAACGTCCAAATACATTAGTGTACTCGGTTTTCTCATACTCAACAAGTTTTTTTTTGTACAAAGTATGAGCAAAGCTTTCAATTGTGGCAACAAACCTGTAAAACAAATTATCATATATGAATAGGACTCATCAATTCAGTATCAGCATACAAATGAGAAGCATAGCAAAGACCTAGTTCCAAGACAAACACCATGAGCTCCAAGGGCAAGTGCTGCAACATAACCACGAGCATCTACTACACCCCCTGCAGCAATGACTTGGATATTCCGATTGGCTGCCAAGTCGGTTATTCTCGGTATAAGTGAAATTAATCCCTCCTGCCAAAAAAGAATTAATTCTCAATAAATAGTTGCAGTGCTTTCAGCACTAACTAGTAGCATGAATGTTCCAAAACGCTAGAATAAGAAATAATCAATATTTAAACTACAAAAAATTGAGAAAAATTAAAATGCTAAAAGGTTCTACAATCTATAAGCTGAATAAGTATCATTCCTGCAGGTTATCAAAGGTATTGCAATATTTGGGAAAAAAGGCAGAAATTTCGGTAAAAATAAAAGACGTAAATAGCAGGGCGTTGATGTGTAAGGATAATTGTAGCCTACTGCTACATCTTTTTGTGGTTGTCAAACTATTGGCAAAAAGCATTCTAGTGTTTACATATAAGGAAAATGAGAGAATTAAAATACTATAGAGGATCAAATTGGTTTTATGTTTATGCCAGCAACTTGCATTTAGAAAAATCTATGGTGTAGATATTTAAAGAAAAAAAAAAACTATTCATGATTTTCTTGATCTTGATGGGCATGTTAAATATTACTGCCAAGGCCCCTAATATCATAAGTGTTAATTTTGCCTCAACATTATTTTAACCCATGGGGTTCCTTGGCCAACAGCTGCTTCACAACATCTAGATACGTTGCTTGGGATCTTGTTAAGCAAGATTAGATAAGACTGGTGTTAATTGGTTGCATACCTTGTATAGTTTTATTGTTTGACTCGTTTTTCTGCAGAATAAACAAATTAAGGAGATCCATATATTTAATCACCCGATTCCAAAGAAATGAGGTATTGCAGCTAAAATTAAAAGCAGTTTTTATAGAATGGCTCTCTTCTTAATTGTATCTCACACAGTGCAAAAAAAAGAACAATTTCACATCCTTTCCCCAAAAGCATTAAGTTGGAGCCCTGTATATTATAAGAGTTTTTTATTTGCTTATCTAAAAATATTTGAACTTACCTTTTTGATAGTTCGTGTATATGGGGCTTTGGGAAGATTGTATCCCTTTGCCCCATTTCTTTGAGCAAATGTGATTTCTTGATAGCTGATCAATTATTCTTTCATTTTTCAGGATGTAGATAACAATCAGACAAATTTTTTTCTTAATATCTCCTTTTTAATTCAGTTTCTTCGGCATTTCCATTGTGTATCCATCAATTATTCTTTCATTTTAATTCAGATGAACAAATTGTTTCTTCTTAAAACTACAATAAGAGCAACTTATTATGGCATATTAATATCAAAGCCTTATGAAAAATTCGATGGAAAAAGGTATAAAATCAAGAAAATTTAATAGGTCATGGTGATATGGTAGAATGCATGGAGAATGACACTATTCTGCATGTCTGGTCGCTATGATGCCTTCGAGCAGTAATCTGTTGGGCGTGGATTTGATTTTACCTATATGTTATCAAGAAGAAAAAAGAAGAATTTTATAGCTCAAACAATTATGGAGTTTGAAGAACCAACCATGATTATACTAGTTAAACATGAACTTATAAAGGGACAATAAAGATGTTTGAGACTATATAAAAGGTGCAATGAGATTGCAAATGAGAAGGCTCTCTTGACAATCTAACCATGACGGTTAAAAGAGACCATGAAGAAACAATAACAAAGAGTTTAGATTATTTGTAAGGTAAGAAATATTTGGATCCCTCATGTTTAGGCAGTGATTTATATCAGTCCACCATTTAAATACACCATACTTCGGTCTTTAGCACATTGTGTGATTTCAATATGGTCCCCTAGCTTGGTTTATGATCATCAAAGAGAACTATTTCTGTTGATAGCATAGATAATTTGTTAATTTAGCTTATTCTGGAATTTTTAATTTAAATTTGAATGAAATTAATGTATTATGACTAAAATACCATGATCCACAAAATTTATCTTATTTTAGGACTGAATCATTTTCCAACAAGGTTGAGCCACTCACACCATCAACATGGGAGGAGAATGGAGGTGGGGGGAGAGATCATACAATTCTTATGATTAGTTCTCTCAGGATTAAATTATTTTCCAATGAGGTTCCACTGGCATTGAAGAACACGAAGAAGAATAGGAGAGGCGGAGTCGATGAGAGGCATCCTTCATCCAGCATCATCCAGTTCAAAACAGCCTTATGTATAGGAAATCATTGAAAGTAACATCATCGGAAATAAACTAGCATTATGAACCAGTAAGAAAGATAATTTCTACATCAAAGGAAAAAGAGAAGGTAAATGGGCACAAAAGAAGTGTAGCATTTATCTTTTTATGCTTAATTGATAGTTATGTTAATAAAAGAATCTATGTGACGTGTGACCAAACATCCAAGATCAAAGTGGATGATATTCAAAATCCTATACCTATGTGTGTGGTCTCAAACCTCAGTGACCTACATGATATTTACCATTCTTTGTATATGACCAAAATTCTCTCTAATTAACTCTATTTGAGACGCATAATTGTTTCACAAGCAAGGCACACATGCTAAATATATTTTGGTGAAATTAGTTACACCATACAAAGATTTAAGAAGTGAAAATATGAAGATTAGCTATAAGGATAAAATTTCAAAAATACTATATTCTTTGTCTCCCTTCTCTGGGTATTCATTTGATACGGATCAAATTTAAAAATACTAGATTTTTTGTCTCCCTTCTCTAGGTATTCCTTTGATTTGATATCATACGGTAGTAATTCAAGTAACTTAAAAATATAAGAATTCAATTAACTTGTCGACAGCCAGCTTATATCTAAACTGTGTCGCTGAGTTTAAAATTGTATGAGATGGTCAACACGCTTATAATTTACCGGTTAGTGGAAAACAATTGCAGAAGGTTCCCTAAACCAGTTATTGAATTTGGATTATAAATGATCCACTTCAACAGGTCTATTACACATAGTAAGAGAGTAAATAATGGTTCAAAAAAATTGATTTAGAAAATGAAGCGGCTATAAACTGAAGGAAAAGAAAAACAATAACAAGATGGGAAGGTAAAATTATTGTTAATAGTTGGTAACCAAAAGGAGCAGTCAGAGTAATTCGGTTAAAATTTCTTCAAAAAATTAAACTAGAATTCAATGATTACTATACAGAGAGACATACAAATTGAAATGCAAATTGTTGGAAGAATGCAACTCTCTTACAGCCAAATAATTAAGCTAGGATCGTAATTATTATTAAGATATCCAGTTAGTCCTTCAAATAAATATATAATTAGATTCTAATTAAACACCTTATATTGCAAATTATTTTTTTCATATTAACCGGGTATAATACCTGGCCAAGAACATGTCCCCCTGCGTCACGACTTTGAACAATAACGGCATCTACACCAGCATCAATAGCTTTGCGTGCATCCTCTACACAGCCAACCTGGATAAACAAAGAGAAAAGGGAAAGTTACCAGACTTTCTAAAGAGAATTGCAAAGTTTATGCCAATAAATTAAGTGGCTTCGAAATTAAAAACTCTGTAAACAAATCTCCAGAGCTAGATAGTTGATCAAATGATTATCAGTAGAAAATGAGAAAAAATATACATGTACTTTATGAAATTGTGCATGGCTAATCAGATGGCCTTTAGAAAGAAAAAGCACGTGACTTCATTACAACAAGAAAATAAATTTGCAAAAAAGAAGCTATATACATGAACATAAAAGAAGAAAAAAGGATATAACTAGACCAGTATAAAAAAAATAACTGAAAGATCGTCAATAAATTTGGGGGAAATACTATAGTTCACAAAGCATAGAGGTGAGAAAGAATGATAAAAAAGACTAGAATAAAGATAATACCACATAAAATCTAGTAAAAAGTTGCAATGTAATTGCCAGTTCACGTTAGCACTCATTATTATTTTTTGATATTTTATATTGTGGATGGATTTATAAAATTATTATTTAATAACTTAATATGAAATGTCAAGTACTTTATTTGAAAATTTCGCTTGTTTATTAGCTTGTTGAAGTACTCATTCAATTAATTTAGCCAATCCGAGAAAGAATATTGAAAATTTTAAACAAATCAAGTATGAATGTAGTTCTCGAAAGATTTAGATCTAAATGATTTCTATCTAAAAGATCGAATATGACATTAGAAGAATAACGTACTATCTCGAAAGATAGAGACATTACCTTAAAATGAATTCAGTCATTGAATAAGAGAAATCTTTGGGTCTACGAAACCAAGAATCTTCTCTTACCTTATAGGTGTAAGATAAGGTTTATTTTGATTCCGATGTCTCGTTCCTACAAGGACAAACCCATGTAGTTAATTACATATTTAAAACCGTAAGCCCTAAAAAAGCCTCTCGATTAATATGATAATTTGAATTGCCAAAGATCGGGTTTTCATAGTTTGAGGGTCCAAATTGGAAAAATTAAGCTTCAAAGAATGTGACTTAAAATTCGATAACATGTCAAAGGCTCGAGATATAGGGATTTGATCACCCAATGGAGAGAATCTATACCCAAAGTAATGTCCGAATGGCCTTGGGAAAGGGGTGACAATGAGTTTGAACTGAGTTTGATTTGAATTGAATTTGAAATAAATTTGAACAGAATTTGAACTAGATTTGAATTGAGTTTTGAAGTCAATTTGAAGTCAAATGATGATATAAAAATACTTGATTTGACTGACGAAGGTGATCGAAAACCCTAAGTTAATGATAGAGTCAGGTATGAATAGATTTCTAGATGTAAAATGAAACCTTAAACTCTATAAGAAATTCTATAGGTGAACGAACATAGACTTCGGGAATAATATCCCCAGTCAATATGCCAATGGCTTTCCTTCATCCCGAGAACATTAATATCTGTCGATTATGACCAGCCTCATAACCAGGAATCTCCCTTAAATGTCGGAGCATGGAGGATTCGTATTTTCGTGGCAATTTGAAATGACTTCGTAGACAATCATGAGTTATTTCATTCTAAGGTATTCCCTCTAGTCTCAGGGGGTAGGTTTTTTGTTTTGCATGTCCGAATCCTTAGCACTAACTACGTACATAAAGTAACCAAGTCTTCTATACTCAGACTAACCTGGGGTCAGTGTGTGGCCCTTGGTTTGGTGTATAGGTTAGCTAGCCTAAAGTTCGTGTCGGATCTACCTAGATTTTGTTCTCGTTCTTTATCTTGGTGTTTTTTAGATATTTCTTTGAATTTAATATTGCATCAATGTCTCATTTGATTACTAGGTTTTGTCAGTTACACTAAGAAATCAGAATTTTTTTTTTGAGATTTGGTTTCTTTCTGAGGTTTGCGGAGAAAACTATCCTTATTATTTTTTTTTAATGTTTTTTTTTTAACTTGGAATAACATGTGGGATAACATGAAATAACATTTAAAATATATGATAACATGTGGAACATGAAATAACATATGAGATAACATGTATTTTTAGCCTTTAATTAGACTTGGGTCAAGGTCAGGCTGAGGTACGTTGATTTTCCAACTTCTGCTAGCTCAAAATTGAGCTAACGTATAATATGGGTTAGCTAATTTGCGTCTAGGTTGGACTTAAGTTGCCTCGAATTAAGTTGAGTTTGATTCAGATTGACTCGGGTTAAACTAGGTCAACTTGGGTTGAGTTGGATTAAGCTGGGTTGACCCAGGTTAACTTAAGTTTGATTGGTTTGACACGAGTTAAGCTGGGTTAACCCGAGTTAAATTGGGTTGACCCGGGTTGGCTTAGGTTTGAGTTGGGTTTAACCCGAGTTAAGCGGGGTTGACTCGAGTTGGGTTATGTTTAGTTTGGGTTTGACCAAAGTTAAGCTGGGTTAACACGAATCATCTTATGTTTAGTTTGGGTTTGACCCGGGTTAAGCTGGGTTGGGTTTAGGTCTGATTAGAGTTATACCTAGATTAAGTAAAGGTTTGACGCGGGTTAAGTTAGGTTAGGTTTATGTCTAATTAGGGTTAAACCTGGATTAAGTTAAGATTAGGTTAGGTTATGATTTGGGTTAGACCAAGATTGGGCCAGGTCTAGGGTTTAGGTTAGGATTTGGGCTAGACTTGGGTTGGCCCAGGTATAGGGTTTAGGTAGATTTAGGATAAGATTTGGGTTAGACCTGGTTGGGTTAGGTCTAGGGTTTGGGTTAGATTTAAGTTTGACTATGTGAGTTAAGGTTAAACCTGGATTGGGTTGGGTCTAGGGTTTGGTTTAGGTTAGGTTTAGGTTTAACTAAGTGAGTTAGCGTTAGGTTGGGTTCAGGTCGACCTGAGTCAAACCCAAACCCAAGCATTATTCAAGGCTAATGAGTTTATTAACATATCCTAAAGCTAACTTGGAATTTAATAAACAAATAAACGGTCAATTAAAAAAAATTAAGCAGGAGACTTACTGGAGGAGGCTTGACTAGAGGAGAAGGAGGCTTGCCGGAGAATTTGCTTCCCTTCTTCTTTCTCTGTTCGGAGTAAATGCCAGAGAGTTTGAGTGATTGAGAGTGTCTTCCCCCTTTAGCAGGATGCCTATTTATAGGCTCCGAAGGCAGTAGCTGAGCACTCTTGAGTCATTTGATTGGGTGGCGGGTTGACGGAAGAGATCCATCGAACAACTAGTGAGCCACGGATCGCCACCGGCGAAACGGTGTGACGATTCGTGGCCTGATCCGCGAACAAAGTTCACGAATCGCTGACATGTGAAGACGGTTTGCCTGGTCGCGACCACGTCGAGGAACCTCTGGGTGTGGTCACCCCAGGGCTGGCGTGACCATACCCCAAAGTATCTCGGCATGACCATGCCAGGACAAAAAAAAAAGGGCAGACTACTTTTTTGAACAATTTTGCTGGGCCGGACCAAGGGGTGATGTCTGTGCAAGTCGTATGTGACCAAACATGAGGTCAACAGTAAGAACATAGCTTGAGCTCTAAACAAACATGAACACCTTATAACATCTAAGTCAAATCCAATCCAGAACATATTTGGGTCAGCTTGGCTTGATTACACCTCGAGATTTATATAATATTATAGGCATGAGAAAAAAGAAATGAAGATACATGAAAGTACTAAATTAATTAGATATCTATAGACTTTGATCAAGTTGAATCTAAGTATTGGGCAACAAAAAAAATAACTTACTGGAAACTGGAGGAATGATAAAAATGAGAATGTTAAGATGAATGTGGAAAAAGAGAAAAAACTAAGAAATTATCATAATAGAGGAATAAAGGGAGTACCATTTATTAAAAATAAGAAAGTCAAAAATATGTACCCATAAAACAAACATATAAAATTGATATTGAAATAATAAAAAACAAAGAGAGACTACCGGTAACATTTATAGAAGTTTTGAGACACACACATACAAAAAGGAAAAAGGTTAACATCCTAAACAACACTCACTATAAATAATATTTTAATTTTGGGACATTTATATACGTACCATGCAATTCCTATGTACTTACATGTCTAACACCTAAACTTCAATTTTTACATTAGCACCCAAATCATTCATGTCAAATCAAAAATACCACAATTTTATCTTTGAAAAAGTGAAATACATCTTTCTATGCATAGGTAAGGTGGCATACATGTAAAAATTGAAATTTAGATGTTAGCTATGTAAAAACATAGAAATTAAGTGGTATGGATGTAAATCTTCCTTTATTTTTTTGATAAATTTATTAAATTTTGGAACTTTTAGAAACTAACAAATAGAACATCAACACATTATTATCAATTAAAGCTTTTAATTACTATGAGACTAGAAAAATTGATCTAAGAAGTTCTCGTTAAAAAGTTGTTGTTCAGAAGCTGATATTTCAAAAGCAGTTGGTTTGTTTGAAAACCACAAGGAGATGAATAATATTTCATTAGAAAAAAACAATAGACCCATAGTGTAGGGGCTCTTTGTTGCCAGAAGCACTTAAGAGAGGCCATCTGAAAGAATCCTTCAGGCACTCATCACAACCCTTTTAAAACCGACCACATGAAGAAAGAGACACATACCAAACCACAAAAAAGGCACAAGCCGCCAAAACCAATTAGTTTTTGACACATAAACGCATAATAATATCAAAATAACAATAAGCACAGTACATATTTGATGAAATAGGCATTAAAAGTCCTTCCAAATGTTGTAAATATTAGAGCATGAAAAATATTTACAAGTACGGTTGACTTTTAATGCAATAGCTGGAGAATGTCATAGCTCAACCGACAACTCGGCAAAAAGAGAAAGAGCAGCAGAAATCATAATATATCAGTAAATCTGAAATAACAATGAAGCCATTTGCATAAAGAGCCCAAAATTTCCAAACAAAACAGTGGCCTCAAATTCGAAATAACAAGATAAGTAGAAATCTAAAGCAATCAATTGAAAATCGATAACAGCAAGGAAATTAGTTCTAAAGCATTGCCAATCTTTCTTAAAAAT